GTTCGAAACCTTTCACCTTATGTTTCCAATGAACTGTTGGAAGAAGCTTTTAGCCAGTTTGGTCCTATTGAAAGGGCTGTTGTAATTGTGGATGATCGCGGGAGATCTACAGGGAAAGGCATTGTTGAGTTTGCTTCCAAACCAGCAGCAAGGAAAGCATTTGAAAGATGCAGTGAAGGTGTTTTCTTACTAACAACGTAAGTTCTTGTGCTTATCCTAATTTTTATTTGTTAACTTGGATGAGGAAGTTGAAACAAAACAAACGAAGTTAAGACGGAACCATTTTTGTTACTAGAACTCCTCGTCCAGTCATTGTGGAACCACTTGAACAATTAGATGATGAAGATGGCCTTCCTGAAAAACTTGCACAGAAGAATCCAATGTATCAAAAGTAAGATTGATTTAAATTTTAAGCATTTTTCTTATTTAAGTCCAAACAATTTGCAGTAATTTTTCACTTTTGCTTAGAAGATGCAAAATTCTTCAAATGCGTATATGCTTGATAGAAATCTAAGGCTCAGGAGGTTTAGAGGTTTTGAAGCAGAGATCTTCAAATGCCTAGTATTCATTGTTGAGATAGGTGTAGTTTACATGCAATTTTGTTTTGTCTTTAGAACAGTTGTGTGATGAATAGGTATCTTTTTAAGAATGGAAAACAATATACTCCTTGATTAGGCATTTGGTTAGAGGAAACAGAATTAGGAAATGAGGAAGGTAGGATTGCTTTTCGGTGCCCGTTATTTTCTGTTACCATAGAATTCTGGGACATGTATTACTTTTTTACATAAAGGTTTAAAAATTTTAAAATGTTTATTCATTTTTGAGCGAGTGGGGAGGGGCAGAGAGAGAGAGGGAGACACGGGATCTGAAGCAGGCTCCAGGCTCTGGGCTGTCAGCACAAACTGCAAGATAACAACCTGAAGTGAAGTTGGGCGCTTAACTGACTGAGCCACTCAGGCGACCCAAAGATTTTATTTTTAAGTAATCTCTACACCCCGTACGGGGCTCAAATTCATAAGGCTCAGATGCACAACCGCAAAATCAAGAGTCATGTGCTTCTGACTGAGCCAGCCAGCCATCTTGGGACATGTATTATTTTTGATGTAAAGCTATTTTTTAAAATTTATTTATTTTGAGAAAGAATGCGAGTGGGGAGGAGCAGAAAGAGAGAACCCAAGCAGACTCCATGTTGTCATGATGCGCAGAGCCCAACTCAGGGCTTGATCTCATGACACTGAGATGACCTGAGCCAAAACCAGAAGTTGGACGATTAACCGGCTGAGCCACCCTGGCGCCCCTGCCTTTGGGTATTTCTTAGAGTCGATAGGCCAGGGGCAAAATCAGTGTTTTTAGGGTAATTGAGTAGTCTTTCTTATGTGCATCCACAAATCGGTTCATGTTGAAATATTGTCAGGGAGAGAGAAACCCCTCCTCGTTTTGCCCAGCATGGCACATTTGAGTATGAATATTCTCAGCGATGGAAGTCCCTGGATGAAATGGAGAAACAGCAAAGGGAGCAAGTTGAAAAAAACATGAAAGATGCAAAGGACAAATTGGAAAGTGAAATGGAAGATGCTTATCACGAACATCAGGCAAATCTTTTGCGTCAAGGTAAAAAAAAAAAAAAAAAGATCCTGTTGTGTAAGTTTCACTGATAGGCTGAATTGCTTTTTGAACTTTTTAGAACCCCGTTAATGTGAATTCACAACAAAATTTTCTAATGTTTAGATCTGATGAGACGCCAGGAAGAATTAAGACGCATGGAAGAACTTCATAATCAAGAAATGCAGAAACGTAAAGAAATGCAGCTAAGGTAAAATTTTGTTAAACTAAATTAAGCCTTCTGCATAAACATTTAGAGGAAAAGATACATCTAAGTCTTGCAGGCGAGTGTGTTGGCATACAGAGGTTAAATACTGACATATGTCAGTGTTGGTTTGACACTAAATCAGAGTAGAGTGTAAGGTTTTCATTTAGGACACCAGTTTTCTTTGCCAGAATGCTTGTAGGTCTGTTCTAGACTCTCTTCAGGCTTTCCTGTGTGTTTGCTCTAATCTAGACTTTGTAATTTTTTTTTTTAATGTTTATTTTTGAGAGAGAGGGTGAGCGAGCCAGGGAGGCGGCAGAGAGGGAGGGAGACAGAATCCAGAGTGGGCTTTCTTTTTAAAAAAATTTTTTTTTCTCCACGTTTTTATTTATTTTTGGGACAGAGAGAGACAGAGCATGAACGGGGGAGGGGCAGAGAGAGAGGGAGACACACAATCGGAAACAGGCTCCAGGCTCCGAGCCATCAGCCCAGAGCCTGACGCGGGGCTCGAACTCACGGACCGTGAGATCGTGACCTGGCTGAAGTCGGACGCTTAACCGACTGCGCCACCCAGGCGCCCCCAGAGTGGGCTTTCTACTCAGAAGAGTGCCTGGCTCAAACCCATGAACTGCCATGAACTTGGAGAAGCCGAAGTCAGGTGACTAATCGGCTAAGCCACCCAGGTGTTCCTCTAACCTAGACTTTGTAAAGCTCTGAGGCAGACCACTAGCTTTTTCCAAGTTGACTTATTTATTTTAAAGTTCATTAATTTTGAGATAGCATAGCATGGGAGAGCACAGGTAGGGAGGGGCAGAGAGAATCTTAAGCAGGCTCTAACTCACAAACTGAGATCATGACCTGAGCCGAAGTCACATGCCCAACTGACAGAGCCACCCAGGCACCCCTTCAAATTAACTTTTAAAAGATGTGGGTGACCGTTCATGTGCTTGATGAATATTTCCAGGCAAGAAGAAGAACGACGTAGAAGGGAAGAAGAGATGATGATTCGTCAACGTGAAATGGAAGAACAAATGAGGCGCCAAAGAGAGGAAAGTTATAGCCGGATGGGCTACATGGATCCAGTAAGTAAAATTCTATTGCAGTCTAGTTGGAGTTGTCTACAAAACTTGTAGGTACCAAAAATATGAAGTCTTACTAAGTTAAATATAACATTTCACTTTATAGTTTTTGTTTTTACAAGTGTATTATGATACGCTTTGAGTTTTATCTTCTTGGCTGGGCCTAAAGATTTCATTGGTTAGGAAGAAGCTCTATCGGTTTTTGGATAATTGAATTTCAACAAGTGGTTTCAGAATACTGATTTTAAAAATAGTCTTCATCTTTGAGTTTTGGAGATTTTTTTTGTCTAAGAATTCTCGGTATGGACATATGAAAGGGATTTTTTTGTTTCAGAGAGAAAGAGACATGAGAATGGGTGGAGGAGGAGCAATGAACATGGGAGGTAAGCATGAAAATAATATTAGCAGTACCATTCAAGAGCTGTATTCTGGTTGAGTTGTAACCAGCATTTTTGTTTCCTAGATCCCTATGGTTCAGGAGGCCAGAAATTTCCACCTCTAGGTGGTGGTGGTGGCATAGGTTATGAAGCTAATCCTGGAGTTCCACCAGCAACCATGAGTGGTTCCATGATGGGAAGCGACATGGTAATGTATCCTGTGTGACGTAGTACAAAGGAAATTCTCATTTTTCACAACTTACGTGTGTGTGTTTTGTTTTCTGTTTTTTTTTCTTTTGTTTTGTTTTTTTAAGTAGGTAACTGAACCTCTTTTTAGTTCCCGTATCATGTAAATCATAATATTGAGGAAAACTTTGGCAACATAGAAGAACTCAGTATGCGGTAACCTAAACAGAAACGGTTGCCAACAAGAAGTCAATGCTGTCAGTAGTATGTTGGAGTTCTCTTCGGCAATAAGTAGACATAGGTGCTTTCCATTATATTGCTTGTGTACTTTTGCACTCTAGCACATGGCAAATCCAAATTCTAAATGTTAGATGATGTACCTGATTATTCTACATCCACGTGAGAGTAATCAAATGGCAAACTGTCATTCATTAAGCTGATATTTGCCATAAGTATGAATCAGACTTGCAGTTTATAGTTTTAGGCATGTTTTAGTGATGTGTAGGACTTTGACCTATATTTGGTGTGGTTTCTACCCATGAGAAGGGAGTTGTTTACTGTTTTGACTCGTCGTTTCCCACTTGTTGGGCCTGTCAATAGGTGCACCTTCTAAAACACTGACATCTCTATATTGCTACAGGATAGCAACAATCCATGACCATTTTAAGCATACTAGTTGTGTGCATTTGATCTGAACCTTCTTGATGCTTTCATATTTTAACTGTACAGGTAGTCTGTCAGGATGCTTTAGAAACAACCAAGTGAATTGGTCTGAGTGGCTGTGTTAGGGCTTTACAAATCCATAGGAAATTTGAATATTGGATTTAGAGGTGGGTTTAGAGAAGTGTGCATTTTCATAACTGAGTTGAATATGATTGGTTCACCTACAGGCTTTTGGCAAAGGAGAGGGAAGCTGCAACACATAGCTCGTTAGGTTTATTTTACAAATAGGAATGTAAGGATTTATTATGGGGTCTAATCCATTTAAAGCCTACTTGAGGTTTTTTGAGAATTAGAATCATAAATAGCTGGTTGGGTAAACGTAGTGTTGTTTTCTTCAAAATGAATTTAAAAAATAACGTGGGTAACATTTTGGTTTATACGCTTCCTAAAAGGCAGATTGTAGGTCTGTATCAAATTTGTAAAATATAATTTGGCATGATGTTCCCACAATTGAGATTTTTTCTGTCTCCTATAACAGGTAGCGTTCTAAGATGTAATAACATAACCGTGAAACCCCCAAATTCTCTCATAGCTTTTGAGAAACACCGTACAATGTGTTAAAACCCTGACATTTTTAGGTTTTTGAGAAATAGTTTAAAGAATTGAGATTTAGTTTAAGTAGCCCTGTAGTATATAGTAGAAAACATGTTTGAACTATGTATAGGAAGTTAAACACTGCTTTTTTCCCTCCCTTTTGGAGTGATGTTCTCTGTAACTGATTTATTTTGAATAGAATTTGTAAGGCTTTTGTGCTTTGCATATCAATAGGGTTTTTCTGTTTGGGAACATAGGTTTCTAAGATTAAAGTACTTAAAACTAGATGGAATAACGAAGTCCTGCTTTACTGCAGTCACTTAAGCTTGGTGTTAAGCTGTTTGGGAGATCCCCAAAACATGGAATCATAGCTAAGTGTTTGTAGACTTTCAAAGACCCAAAGGAAAAGCTGGGCTGGTGTGGGGGTGGGCTGTATATTTAGTCAATTTGCAACTATACTACTGTGAACATAATTGTCTCTGCTTATTTAGTGATGGTTCTGAAGGTGGTATACCTGTGAGAATATGGCAACACTTTTAATGAAGTTACTGTGCCGGTTAAGTGACTAAATCTGTTAGTCTTTTATGCTTTTTCTTTTTGTAGTCTGGTAGCATTTTATTAAAACTTTGAATGTTTTAAGATTCTGCAACTTAGCAGATGTGTCTTAAGATCTTGAAAAGCACAAGGTTTCTTATGCAGCTCATGCCACTAACTGGTGAGTAGGTCTTTGTCACTTCATTGAGTGAATTGAATCTGTCTGGTTGGGCTTGTTAGGCTTACTTGGAAATTAAATTTCCTGTTCAGACCTTGAAAGTGAGAAGTTTGCAAGCTTTTGCAGTGGGTTAATCTGATGTGAAATTTCTTAAAACTCATTTTGGAATGGGTTTTCACATCTGCACTAATTCTTAAATTTTTTAGCACTACAGGGAAGACCTATTCTTTGAAACAGGTGTATGAGAATGGCTCAAGTGGGAACATACCACAAGGCATGTATTATCGTAAACTAATTTTCAAATTACCCTTTTTTCCTTTCTATGTTCCCGGTACCTGTGGATCGACTCATTGGTGATTGTATCGACGAACGTTGACTACGGAACCTTCTAAAATATTTACTTAACACACATGGACATCAACTACATATAATGAACTGTTAATTACTGTTCCAATAGCGTACTGAGCGCTTTGGGCAGGGAGGTGCGGGACCTGTGGGTGGACAGGGTCCTAGAGGAATGGGGCCTGGAACTCCAGCAGGATATGGTAGAGGGAGAGAAGAGTATGAAGGCCCAAACAAAAAGCCCCGATTTTAGATGTGATATCTAGGTTTTCATTCCAGTTTGTTTTTGTCTTTTCTTGTTTAGATACCAATCTTTTAAATTCTTGCATTTTAGTAAGAAAGCTACCTTTTTATGGATGTTAGCAGTTTATTGACCTAATATTTGTAAATGGTCTGTTTGGGCAGGTAAAATTATGTAATGCAGTGTTTCAAACAGGGGAATTCTTTTTCCTTTTTATTTCCTTTTTTTTTTTTTTTTTTTTTTTTTTTTAACTGTATAATGTCCCTCAAGTTATGGCAGTGTACCTTGTGCCACTGAATTTCCAAAGTGTACCAATTTTTTTTTTACTGTGCTTCAAATAAATAGAAAAAATAGTTATAATATTGATCTTCAACTTTGCCATTCATGCTTCTATGCACATTAGGCTAGGTATTCCACTTCGAAAGCATGAGCGTGTCTAGGCCTTTGAATGGCATATGCCATTTCTGGGAAATGTATCTGTAGGCTAAGCATTGCTTTCTACAAATAAGTACCCCCCCCCTTGTTTTAAAAAGAAGAAATGCATATTGAAGTAGTTTCATGATTTGTTTGGCATTATAGGAAGCAAGCTGGTGCTAAGTATTTTTAAATGGTTATGTAAGCAAGCTGAACTGTAACTCTTCCTTCAGGAATGTGTATTAAGATTATGGAATGGGTGAAAGACTTGGTAGGGGGAGAAAGTGGGTATGACTAAATGGATCTTTATGGCCCTATGATCTATCCTTTCCTTGAAAGTTTCTGAAGAAAAAAGTGGAAAGATCATTTTGTTGCATTCCTCCATTCTTGTTTTTAAAAGAACAAGTCCCAAGCCCTACAAATGGCTTGTATTGAACTTTCATATTTGAATTAAAGATTGTTAAACATGAAGCCTTTTCATGTATTACTTCAAGCGATTTATGAAGATGGGGTTTAGTGTGAAAAATTCAACTTGCAAGTAAGAAGCGTAGTAACCATGAAGTAGGTTTAGCTACGTATACATTTGTACTCTGTAACTTTTACATCTCCTTGTGCTACTTCTGGTGGACAAAATCTGTAGGGCTATGAAAACTTGTTCTCTTTTCTAAGAACTAGTGGCGACTGTTAATGACCAGTAGCGTTGTAGATCACGATTCTTACTGTAAACTATTTGTTAACCTGCTTTTCTATAGTTTACTTTTGATGTAGCACTAAATCTGGAGAGAGTTGCTCATGCTACACAGTACAAATACCCCTTTCTCCCACCATAAAGTTTTGGAGTGTTTCGATGGTGTTGTCAGCTGATTGTCAACTTCATTGAATCTCCTTCCATTAGGATAAGACATTCTGACTTAACATTAAAGTAGATTGTTACTGTTGTCTGATAGTACGATGGGAACCTGTTTTCCCAGAGTATGTATGTTAGCAGAGGAACAGCTTCCTAAAAGTAGGTAAAGTAATTGAATTGGTTTGGCTTTGTTCTTAGTTCCATTCAAATTTGTACATTACAGAACTCTTACTATGGAATGTGTCTTCCTCCTTTTCACCTCTGTTCTTGGTGCTAATTGGCAAAAGTAAAATTCTAAATCAAATCTTCGTTAAATGCTGAAGTTTAGTATTGTGCCTGAGTACAAAGGGAAACCTCTTGTTGAAACTCTGAGCACTTTCTGCATAGGAAACTGGATAATACTAAAAGTAAAACACTAGTGGAGTATAAAGGCATGTCACTCAATTCTGGTTGTGTGACTTGACAGGTACATGGTGTGCTAATTAAGGAAGAGAATCTCCTTAGAATATGTTTATTATTTCTTCCCCAAGACACTTGGAAGTGGGTAGTAGTTCCACCATAATTCTATCCAGAGGAAGTTTTGTCCCAAGTCATTAATTGGTGATATGTATGAGGTTTTCTGTATGGAAACAAGGGTCTGGATTTGAAAGGAATCCATTACAATTTGATTGAATTGTATGGTAGGGACTCCACTAATGACAAATTAAGGGGTGTTCATGGGACACCCACAGAGGGTGAACGTGAATGTGTGTGGGCGGGGGCTGGTGGGGAAGTGGGAAAATCTGCCTATAAAATTAATGTTTCAGTTTATTTTTCAGATTACATGCCTTTCTTTATAAGGGATGCTGGCACAGACCCCTAAAATAAGCTTTTGTTAGTACTGTACCTTTGAAGAGTGGTGAAGGATGCTAATGGATAATCTCCTGAAAGTTGTGGTTTTGCTAGCCTTACTGTGGGCTGTAGAATTGCTAAACGTTGTTTAGCAAATAATGTTGCTTAGTTTCCACTAAGTTTTGCCTTTTCCTCACTGAAACAGCAGTGTACCAAGGGTTGTAAGCTACTCAGACTTTCAATAAGTCTTGGAATGCATATGGTAGTTTTTAGCTTAATGTGAATTTAAATCCTCTTAAAAAGGAGTTTGCTAAAAGCTGATATGAAATGGGTGGGAAAGGGAATGTAGTACTTTTGAAGTATTTCAGCCATTTTTCTTATTTAAAGAAACCAGCTGCCCCCATTTCCTCTTCTCCACTTTCTCTCGTAATTTTATTTTAAGAGGAACACTGATCATTTTAAGCTTATTACTCCTAATCTTTAAACTGCATTCTCTACGAGATCCCAGTGTATTCAATAGGTACCTTATAAGATTAACTGAATGGCTCACGTTATTTAGTGAAACCATAATCCTCTGCTTAGAACACTAATTAAAACTCCTAAGAAGTCCTATAAACCCCACCACTCTTTATATAGATGTATTATACCACTAATACAAACAGATAATAATTTGGGAAATTGTAACGTTACGCCTGTGCAATTTTTATAAGTGGCATATTATGGCAGACAAAAATTTAGATACTTGGCTTTTCTCGGGCAAGCCACTACGTTGTGGCGGGATGTTTTCTGGTGTTCTTGGACTGCAATTGTGCACTATTAAAGTAGTGGCCTGCTACATAACTGCATTTAGCCAGCATTTCTGCAGTGCGTAACTGTGAGGAACGTAGTACCGCAAATGGCAATGGACATTAGGACCCGGATGTAGTATTCCTGCTTGCTCCAAGATTCTCATTGCCGACTGCATACAGGTAGGTAACAAGCAATATAATCTAACTTGGTGACTTGCTATGTACTTTTATTCCGTGGGCATTCTGACATCACACTTCTGACCATGAAATTACAGTGCAGCACCTAACACTTGGATGGTAAAGCTAGCTGCTATCAAAACTGCGTGGGTTTGGGTTTCAAGCTGTAATTTGTCAGGCAGAAATCAGTGCTGTTGCAGTTCTCAGATAAAAAGTGCAAACTTGATTCTTTGGTACATCTGATGCAGTTGTGTGGTTTCCTTTAGTTGCATTGTAACTGAAGAGAACGTGGAACACGTCAGTGGTGTGGGGGAGAGGGAATCAAACCATACTTGGAAAGTAGAGTGCTTTTAGCATCTTGACATGGACTGTATAGCCTGTGATACTGAGTCTCTGTTGTAGCAAACTGACCTGCCCATAGGTCAGCAATATCCATTTCAGAATGCAATCTTGGTAATCATTCTGCAGGTTGGAGTGAATTAAGACTAAAAAGTACAGTGGTTTTTT